GCACAGGGGGGCACGGCCAGCCCCGTCCATGGCACAGCCACGGGGGCACAGCACCCCTGAGGGACAGCAGAGAGGCAGAGCCCCCCTGCCCAGCTCCTGCCGTGCCAGGGACAGACCCTGCGGCACACGGGCCATCAGCTGCGGGTAAGGACAGGTGATAATCAGTTCTGACAGGTGTCGGTGGGCAAACACAGAACCACAGAATCAGTAAGGTTGGAAAAGACCTACAAGGCCATCGAGGATGATTATCGTGGATGGATAACAATGGATAATAACAGCAATGGACAACACCGTCTCGGGACAGAGCCATCCTGGAACAACCCAGCCAGGCTCAGCCCAACCTCAGCAAACGCTGCACACAAGAACCAGGACAGCCCATATAGAGCTGAATATTAGACACGTTGAGCTGTTGAGCCTGGGCTGGGAGAAACGGGCAGCCTCGTGCAGCCCCCCTACCCCTGAGCCTGGTTATCTGTCCCAGGGCTGGGAGTGGTGGGCAACAGCAGAGCAGCGATAACGCTCAAGGCTGAAATGACATTTCTGGGATGAGTTATGGCCCGGAGACCAGCGCTCCCAGGAACCCGTGAATCACAGCTGCTTCCTTTGACGTCAACCCCTGCACCCTCCTGCGGGGAGCCTGACCTTCCTCCCCGCTGTTGCAACAACCTGGCCCAGGGGGAGGTCACCCCATTGCTGCACCAGCCCCGGGGAGCCCCTCGCCTCCTCCTGCTTGTCCCCAGCCCTCCCCGAGATGATTCAGGTCCCACCTGCCATCCAGAATGTTCCTGCTGCTCCTCAGGATGCTCCTCTCCATCGCCAGGGCTGCCATCCTCTGTCATGTGCAGAAAGCACCCCACGTTCACGTCAGCGATGCACAACTGGACGAAGGTGCTGGAGGGACCGGGAGGAAGCCGGAGGCTGCACCGTCCCCTTCCCAAATGTTTGCTGGGAAATCCTCGCTGCAGCCACGGTCCCACAGGTGTGACTCCCGGGTTGTGCCACAGCTCTCCCCGCTCCGGGCTTCACCCACCTGCTCCCACCTGCCTGCACATGGAGTGAGGGAAATTCTAAAGGGTTTGAAATCCCTGAGCTGCTCCCGGGAGCTCCTTGCCCAGAGCTCTGGCCAAACGCACACGGAGCACCCACGGGTCTGGGTGCTAAGGGAGACCAGAGACCCCCCCATACTGTGCATTACCCACAGCCCCCCTGCCCTGACAGTGAGGGGGACCAGAGACCCCCCAGCTGTGAACCACCCAGGACTGTTGTTATCCCAGACGGAGCAGCGGCTCCCGGCACGAGGCCTTGGCACAAGGACATGCAGTTGTTTGTGAGAAGAACCAAAACAGCCCGGGCAGAGCCACCCCTCTGGCTCTGGGCTGGGGGGGCTGGAGGGGTACGAGCTCCTCTGTGCCCCTGGGGAGGGGACATGAGGACAAGTCACACTGTGCCACAGCACACGAGGGAAATGCTCCAGGTGACCCATCCCCTTGGGCGCCACAAGGGGACCCCAAAAAGGATTCCAGAACCCTTAGGGGGCTCTGGTGATCTGGGACACACCCAGGACCCTCACCAGCTTCTGAAGTGGCCTCAGCATCTTGGATGTCCCTTGAGGTCCCCCCGCTGATGAATGCACCGAGCCTGGGAGGGAAAGGAACAGCAGCAGGGGGGTACCAAGGGTAGCCAGGAGGAGCAGCAGCAATGCCACAGGCACCAGGGATGGGATTGGGGTCCCAGCACCTACCTTGGGCACCGGGAAGGCGCCTCTCCATCAGAACACAGCTGGCCTGGCCGGCTGAGCCCACTGAGCTCCAGCAGCAGGGCAGGACAAGGCTCTGGCCACAGCTCAGACCTGCCTGGACCCAGCTGGCCCCTCGGCTGAGCCCTGCTCTTCTGGGGACAGAGCTGGGGGCATGGGCAGCACGTGGCCATGTCCCGCGTGCCAGCAAGGGGATGCCTGGGAAACCAGCACAGCCCCGCCCCGGGATGGGCACCCAGCACCCCCACCCACATCCCGCAGGACAAGGGGGGGGGGAGAACATGCTGGGGGAGGTAAAACACCCGAGAAAGCCCCCACAGCCCCCCCAAAACGCCCCTCAAAGTCACCACGCAGCTCTGTTTGCAGCTTTTCGCTTAAAAAATGTACAACAGGGCTCGAGGTACAAATATTCACAAATGTACAAAATATACAAAACTGGATCAACGCCGACCAAAGGTGCTGGAGATTCACCAGGGCCCGAAGGGATGGGGGCCCAGGAACCCCGAGGCTGCCTGGAGCTGCCTCGTGAGGATGGGGGGAGCCCCTCACCCCTCCCTTGCCCAGCCACCTTCGAGAAAATTCCCCTCTCCCAGCCTGCTTCCCACCGCAGTGGCCGGAGCAGGGGAGGCTCTGTCGGGGTGACCCCGTCCCTCCTGCTGCAGCACGGTCGGGGGGGCCGGGGTGTCCCCCCACTCCAAGGCTGCCCGTGTTCCTATTTGGAGAGTGCAGATAAACCACAGGCCCCCCCTCGATGCCCGCAGAGGTCACGCTCTGACCCGGTGATAAGATAATGGGCTCAAAAGCAGCAGAAACAGGTCTGTGCCCTGGCCCCCTCCCCTGGCAGTGGGGAGGGGAGCTGGTGGGAGGTGGTCCTGCAGTGGAAGCCCCCAGGAACAGGCTGGAGGGATAGGGAGCTGGCAGGGTTGGGGTCAAGCTTCCACCCCTCTGCCCCAATCGCCCCCTGCACACCACATCAGCCCGTGCCAGCATCCCCCTCCCCTCCGTGAGCATCCCCGGAGCCCCCGGCCCCAGAGCTGCTCCAGGATAACCCTGAGAGGGCACACGGGGGCTGGGGGCCCCCTGAGGGGTCAAGACAGTGCCGGTGCTGGTGCCTGGCAGGAGGATTTGGCCGCAGGAGGGTGCGAGTTCACAGCAGCTGGGCTGGGGGGGTGGACAGAGGTGCCAATGGTGTAGTCAGCTGGCTGCAAGGAACAGTCAGACGGATGGCAGTGAGCCAGGGTGGTCTCGGGGAGACCCCAGGGCACCCCAGCCCCCCAAAACACGCCCCTGTCCCTTACGTGTCGCCGGAAGAGCCGCTGCAAGAGGCTGCGCTTGGGGGGCTCGGGCAGCCGCTGCCAGTCCAGGTCGGGGGAGCGGGTCCCGCTGGGCCCAAACACGTTGAGGTCCTTGAAACACTCGGTCTCGATCATCTGGGGGGGTCAGGTCACCGCAGGGTTGGGCACCGGCAGCACCACAGTTGGGTGGGACCCCTCTGGTGCACCACACCCCCTGTACCTCGTTCTGCCAGGGGATGGAGACGCTGCCCGTGGCGAATTTGGCGTAGAAATCACTGTCGGTTTGGTCCAAGTTGACGCCCTTCACCGTGGAGAACTGCTCGATGTCCAGCACGTCCTTGCAATAAACCGCCCGCGGCTGCAGGGCCCGGGGGGCTGTCAGGGGGGCAGTGGGGGGAGTGAGGCTGTCCCCCCACACCATGGGTGCCCACCCCTGCCCGGCCCTTACGTCCGGCACGAAAGGGGGGGTCATGATTCCGGCCTCCAGCCGCTTGAAGTTGATGGTCCTGAAGAAGGGATGTCGCTTCACCTCGGCTGCCCCGCCGGCCCCGCAGCCCAGCCGCACCCCGGGGTCCTTGGCCAGGAGCTGGGGGGGGGGAATGGGGGTGTCACAGCAGGGATGGACCTGGTCTGGCCCCCGTGGGGACTCCTGGGTCCCCAGCTCACCAACTTGCAGATGGCCTGAGCGTCCTCGCTGAACTTGTCCGAGTAGAGCTCCTGCTCCTCCTGCACCCGCTTCTCCACCTCCTCCCGCTTCACCCGCTCCTTGCGGGCGCGGAAGGGCGACTGCCCCTCGATCATCTCGTACACCAGGCAGCCCAGGCCCCACCAGTCGGGGCTGAAGGTGTAGCGCTCGTTGCTGATCACCTCCGGGGCTGTGGGGCACAGCCCCCAGCTGTCAGCACCCGGGCACGGTGCCACACAAGGACCCTGGTCCAGCCCACCAGTGCAGCCCTCACGCTCACCCATGTAGCCAACGGTGCCCACGCGGCCACGGATGGTCTCACCCTCGGGGATCTTGACAGCCAGCCCCAGGTCAGAGATCCTGATGTGGCCTGGGTCAGGGAGGGGGTTGAGGGCATTATCCCAGGGAAGGGTCACCTCACATCCCAGCACATCCCCCCAGGGCACAGCCAGGCACCCCCTGGATCACATAGAGACCCATCCCCGTGCCACGAGCACGGGCAGGGCCACACCCAGCAGCTCCCTCCTCACCATCGTCATCCAGCAGGATATTCTCCGGCTTCAGGTCCCTGTGGGGACAGAGGGGTGGCTCAGCCCCGTGCAGAGGGGTGGCTCAGCACCCGCTGCCCCGTGCCCAGCTCACCTGTAGACGATGCCCTCCTGGTGCAGGTGCTGGAGCCCACAGCAGATCTCTGCTGCGTAGAAGGCCACGCGCTTGTCCTCAAAGCCGGGGTTCCCCATGTTGTAGATGTGGAACTTGAGGTCTCCCCCGTTCATGATGGTCAGCACCAGGCACAGAGCGTCCTTCGTCTCGTAGGCGTAGGCCAGGCTCACCTGTGTGCCCACCTTGGCCCTCAGCACCAGCCCCGGCCCCCCCAGCCCCCCGGGAGGGTCCCACACGCACCACGAACCGGCTGTTGACCTTCTCCAGGATCTGCTTCTCGTTCAGGGCCATCGCCTCCCCTTTCCGCTTCTTGATCCGCTTCTTCTCCAGTTTCTTGCAGGCGTACATCTTGCCCGTGGCCCGCACCTGGCAGGCACACACCTGGGGGGCCGGGGCCAGCGGTGGGGTGAGCCCCCGGCCCGTCCACCCCCCAGCCCTCCCTCCTCCGTGGCCGTACCTCTCCGAACCCGCCCTTGCCCAGGATCCGGTACTGCCGGAAGGTGTCCTTGGTGACAGCCTGCCTGGAACGCACAGCCCCGGCCGGACACGTCAGCCCCGCGCCCTCCAGGGCCCCCAACACCCCTCAGAGCCCTCACCTCTCCAGGTACTTCCACTGCAGGAACCGGTCGAAGTACATGCTGGCCCGGTAGTCGGCGAAGG